TTCTTCTCGTCCGAGAAGATAATCTTGTCCCACGAATGGCCAAGGTCAACATGCGACATTGCCCACTCGACACGGGCGTCTTTGTGTCGCTTGGTGAGGCGAGGGCTTGCTTTTCGCTTCTTGTACTTGAGGAAGGGCGATGCGGAAAGGACTCGTCGAATCGTACGAGAAGAAACATTAAGATTAAGGTCATGTTTAATCCTACTTGAGCTCGATTTGCCTCTGGATGCGACCCGCAAGATTCGTCGACGCTCCCGTATGTCCAATTTGGGCTTGCTCCCGGGACGCTTTTCAGTTGCGTACGTCTTGGGGGACTTTAGGAAGTTCCAAACCGCCCCCTTCGACACAAACAACTCCCTGGCTATGTGTCGGATCGACCATTTGGCTTTGCGAAAGGCCAAGATCGATACTTGCTGCTCAAGGGTGAGAAGTACCCCCTTAGGCATCTATTGGCAACGTTAGTGGCTGCTGAGTTCATCATGTGTCCATACCTGTCTTTTGGAGCGTCAACGGAGATCTCCACGAACAGAAATGACGATTTTCTTACGCTGTACCTTTCTTTCTGTCCAGGCTCAAAGTCCATTCATTTCAGTTTTTTTACTTTTAACACAACGTCAAGGGTATTTAAAAAGAGCTCCGTGTAGCTTGTTGGCAGCTGCTCCAAGGGTTTCAAACCCTGCTTTGATTGGACAAAAATCAGCAATTTTACGACGAAAATACAAGTGTACCTATCTTCACTCTCCAGCACTGTACACCGTCCTTGTAGTACAGTGCTGGACAGTGAAGATAGGTACACTTTATTTTCCGACATAAAATTCCATCGACGCATCGACTTGCCTGAGTAAAGCAGTCACCACTCAGCAGCAATTGATGTGACCTTATTGGAACCTTCAGAGTTCCCAAACATTGAATGCTCCTCGAGATATCTGCATTTTCGTAAATCATGCAAAAAAAAAGCTGGCCATAAAGAAAGGTACACTTCTTCAATTCGATAGACAAGAGAAAGTATGAAGGCAAAATGAGCTCTGTTACACTTTAATACTTCGTACACGACCCCTTAAGCTGCAAGACAGCAATGCAACGCGATTTCATCGAAGCTACAAGCTTCAAAAGCAGGTCGGTGTCGATGGCGTCCCATTGACGCAAAATTTCGAGTTTGAGCTCCTCAACGGTCTCAAATTGCCGCCCGTTCGCATAAACCTTTCGCACAAGGTATCCCCAAACGTTTTCGATCGGATTGAGATCCGGCGAGAGCGATGGCCAACTCAAAAGTGGAATTTCGTGCTCGGCCAAAAACGACTTGGTCTCGTTGCTGGCATGAATGCTGGCATTGTCTTGTTGAAAAACAAAACCGTCGGGGTGGTTGGCATGGGCAAAGGGCAGGAGGTAGTCGGCAATAGTATCGCAGTAGGCATAGGAGTTTTGACGCCCGTGCAAGAAGGCAACCTCGGTCAAACCCTTGCTGGAAAAACCGGCCCAAATCATGACACTTCCTCCGCCGTTTTGGCGGCTTAAAAAGGTCTGTTCTTCCTTGCGAAGGTCATGCCAGTAGTACTGGAGGCCGTCGGGCCCATCCAGGTTGAATT